TTCTCATAGGAGCACGAACCCTACTGTGAACTGTGCATGTGACCAAGTTGCCCTGCTCTGTATGAGAATCTAATGCCTGATGATCTGAGATGGAGCTGAGGCGGTGATACTAGCACTGGGGAGAGGCTGCAAATACAGATTGTCATTAGCAGGTGAATCGACTTTGTCCATTCTAGAAGAGAATCCACTGCTTGAGATAGCAAATGATGGTAGCCTTAAAAGTATATTTAAGACAACTTCAGATCTGTATATGTTCTGGATTGAAGTTAAGGCAACCCTAGGATTGTCATAAAAGCACTGAAAAGCCTGCTTCCATTTCCGATGCCCTATCTTTGTGAAGCAGGGTTTTCTGCAGTGTCAGCCACCAAAATGAGATTATAGAGGAGACCGGACATAAGCAGCATGCTGATTTAGACCACTTTAGGTACCACCTAAAATGTGATAAACACTGTTTTAAATTTCATCACACAATCATTTTGCTCCCAAATGCCTTTAAGGGAAAGTTTAAACTTCTTAGGTTGCTGGCATGATGCTCCCTTCATGTTTGATTCCTTTACTCCAGTAAAAATGAAGTTACTATTCCCAAATACCTCAGGTTCTTTCAGCCTTTCTAGGTCTGCACATGTTATTCCCTTCTCCAGAGTATGAGCCTTGAGGGTTAGGACCTCATTTTTGTTTACTATTGTCTCCTTCTGGACCAACTTCAGAGCCTGCCTAGAATAAAGTAGGTGAGGAGGATTAAAAAAGAAAGGGGGTATGGAAAGATTGATAAAGAAGATGGGAAGAAAAGAGAGAGAAAGACAGGAAGGAAGAATAGAAGGAAGGAAGGAAGGAAGGAAGGAAGGAAGGAAGGAAGGAAGGAAGGAAGGAAGGAAGGAAGGAGGGAGGGAGGGAGGGAGGGAGGGAGGGAGGGAGGGAGGGAGGGAGGGAAGGGGGATATTGATAAACTTCTATTCATCCTACAAAAACCCATTTCAAAAGTTCCTTCCTCTTTGAAGCTTTCCTGCATCCTTTAGCCACATCTAAGCATTCCTTCCTCTGTGTTCCCACAGTATTGTCTCCATATCTCTATTAAATCATTTAGCAGTCTATATTCTACTGACCGAATGAGTAAATTTGAACATCCTTCCCTTAGACTTTGATCCTTACATAGGCAGGGGCCATATGATATTCATCTGTAATTCTAACAGTGGTTCTCAATCTTGGCTGTCCTTTGGAATCACATGGGGAGCTTTAAAATATACTAATTCCAACTTATTCTGTAACCTCATCTTCTGATAAACCACATTCCCTAAAGAGACAGGATTCTAGTTTATGGCAATTGGTCTGGAGTGTGGACTGATTTTAAAAAACACTCCGTATGTAGCCAAGACTATGAACCAAAGCTGAGTGGTAGGAGGAGCTCACTAAATGATGAATGAGTGAATGTATGAATCTTGCCTTTAACACATCACAGTCCTGAACCAGCAAGACCATTTTCAGGGTTTCATGTTATGCTAATTCATTAATATATTCAGGAACTATTAATTAAGCAATAATGTGGTACTGGGTGTCAGGCTGGGCCACGCTGGTGAAGATGAAAACATGAGTAAGACTCCCACTTTTCCCCCCAGTTCCATGTGTATGAGGGAGAGCTGGGGCCATGTCTCTTTTCATTCAAGAACTTTCTATCTGGCTGGTTACTTGGCCAGGCCCAACTGCAACCATCTCCTTAGCAACTGACTGCAAACCTGACTTCCGGCTGCTTTCTTTGGCAAATATAAGGACAGACCCTATTCACTCTCAAAGAAAGAATGTTCCTGGAACTTATGCATGAGTCTATGAGAGCAAAAGGAAAGTGGTGTTGTCAGGACCTCTTCAAGATCTCTGCTGCAGTCATCCACGGTGAGTCTGGCAGGTGCCAGACCAAAGTCCTGGCTGCTTTAATGAGCTTCCTTGTGGGTGTGACTTACACAAAGAAAACTGAAGTCCTTCAGTTATGATTATGATCTTCATCACCCCATGGGTAAAGGGAGTTTTCTTCCCAGCTGCTGCAACCTCACTCTCAGGCCTGATTTGAGACTTTGCATCACAGCTTACTGAAGAGCAGACATAATGACCATTTGTGCTACCACTGCTCTGGTTTAGCCTTTGATGACAACTCCTCCCAACTGTTGCAACAGCTTCTTAGTTGGTTATCCTGATCCTGGTCTTGGTCCCTTCAAGCCATCCTATACACAGATGCTAGACAATCCTTCTAAAATCACAAATCCCATCACCCATCCCCTATTCAGAATTCTTTAATATCTTGCCACTGCTGTCAGGATAATAGGATATACAAGATAAGCCCTATGGATACGACGTACAGCACAAATGTAGCCTTGTGTCTAATCTATGGAATTACGGTCAATGGGAATGCAAGTCCAATACTCGGGAAGAAAAATGATGGAAAATAAACATTTAATGAAGACTCTTAAAAAGGCAAGAAATATCCTAAAGAACCTCTGTCCCATCTATCACCACATAGTGCCATTCCCTGTGTCAGCTGCTCCCCCTCAAATCTCCCTCCCCCGTTTCCAAAACTTTAGTTTGCATCAGCTCCTGCTTTATTTCCTCTTTCTTTCACTCACTTTTCAATCTTCATGATTTATTGGAGAGCACCATGCACTTCTATTATAAACCCATTTAGCTTTCTCAGTGACTTCTGTTCTTTATTTGTTACTCCAATCAGCACAATAAAAGCCCAAGAAGCAGCATTCAAAAGCTGGTTCTACTCTGGAAACTAATAAAAAATGGGTTCTACTTTGGAAACTGACCCTATCACACAGGAGACTTTTCCATCTCATCACAAATTACCCTGTAACCTCATCTTCTGATAAACCACTTTTCCTAAATAGACCTGCTCTTTCATACCCCATACCTTTGCAGATCGTTTTGTCTCTGCCAGGATGCCTGGTCCCTTCCTTTCAGCCCGGCAGGCTTTTAATCAATTATTTACACTCCAGCTCTGATGTCACTTCCTTGAAGGCTTTTCTCAATTCCACCACACAGGATTAAATTGTTTCCTTCCCCAGCACTTCTCTGAACTTTGCACAGGCCGCAGTTATAACTCTTTTCAAGCTGTGTTATAATTCCTTAATTACTGACCAGACTATTTCATTAGTCTGTAAGTGCCAAATTTAAGTCTGAATCATCTCTGTGTCTTCAGCCCCAAGAACCAGGGAAAGGCTCAATAAAATTTACTGGATGCTCCAGAAACATGCTCCAGCTATGAGTATAGAAGAAGAGCATTTACCTGTGCTTTGCCTCTCTGCTCATCAGGTGAGGGTGCCCAGGAGCACGTGTCCTATCAGAGCTCAAGACATCTGCCTGGCACTAACCTGGCTATGCCCTTATTTGACCAGCCTTATCTCGCCCTAACTTTTACCAGGGTTGGCTCTCACCTAGCCAAAATTAAAAGGAGCTAAAAGCAGCTCAGCAATTAGGTGCAAAATGAAATAAAGGCATTCAGACTTGAAAGCAGAAGCAAAACTACATTTGGAGATATCATGATCTTGTATATAGAAAATCCTAAGGGAAACTACAGGGAAAATTATTACAGCTAATAAAGGAGGGCCCCAGATCTTCAGTTTGGCATCTGTGGGGCCACTCTGTCACCTGGACCCAGCTTTCCCATGGTATTTCCCAGCATGCCTTCCTTTCCATTGCTCTTTGTACCTGAAGATCAAACATCCTGTTCAGCACTGTTTGCTCTCCACTTTCTGCACTGTGCTGAGCAGTGACTTATTTCTAAAGTCTAGAAATACAAGCTACATTTAGTGAGGCTAACAGTTGGACAGGTGTCATCTAATTCAATCCTCACAGCAACCTGCCAAGGCAGAAACTACTATCACCCATATTTTTCAGATGAGACTGTCCCCATCCATTGCCCAGCTGGGATTTGAAACAAGGGCTCCCTGACTCCAGCTCCCAAATTCCTAACCTGAAAGTTGGGAAGATGAGAGAGACCCAGTTCCAACACTACTTCTCCTGGCTAGATGTGTCTGTTCTCTTCCCAATCCCAACTCCAAGGCTAGACAGTTAACAGTATCTCATGGCATTTAGAATTGTCTTTGCATTGTGGTTATTTGTGTAGAGCTTTTCTCTCCCCTGTTAGGCTGGAATTTCCTTGGGAACACAGCCATATCTCAATCACCTTTGTAGCCTCATATGCTAGCACTGCTTGGCACACTGTAGGTACTGCCAAAGATTCTTTGCTTGGACACACTTTAGTTAGGCTCCTGAACCTTCTCCTAGGCCCATTTGTGTGCTCCCTTATAAAATACAGCTTTTAGCAAAAACCTTGCTAAGTCTGTCTAATCAGAATTCCCTCACGCTGATATATGATCACTCTTGATATCTAACCAGGTTTCTTATCCTCCACCGTACCCTAGGTAATATCTGATCACCCTGGCTGGTCTTCAGCAAGAATCATATTAGGTCTATTAAGTCAGAATGCCCCTTACCCATGATGTTTACCCCTAGTACTTTTCCATCTGTGGATCTCCACCCTGTTCTTTGGCTATAAATTCCACTGGTCCATGCTGTATTCACAGTTGAGCCCCATCTCTCTCCCCCACTGTACAATTCCATTGCAGTAGTCCCAATACCTATCACAATGGTCCTGAATAAAGTCTGTCTTATTATATTTAACAAAAATCATTAAATATTTCCCTCCCTTCCTTCCTTCCTTCCTCCCTCCCTCCCTTTATTCTTCACCCAAGGGTATATCATTGATTCCAGAGAGAGAGGAATGGGGAGGGAGGGAGGGAGGGGGAGTAGGAGGGAGGGGGGGGAGAGAGAGAGAGAGAGAGAGAGAGAGAGAAGAAACATTGATGTGAGAGAACCATCAATCAGTTGCCTCCCAAATATGCCCTGACTGGGGACTGAACCCGCAACCTAGGCATGTGCCCCAACCAGGAATCGAACCCATGACCTTTTGGTTTGCAGGACAACACTCCAACTAACTGAGCCATACCAACCAGGGTGAATATTTTTTTCTTTAATGGTGTGCATATCACAGGGCTTCAGCAAGGATGAAATGAAATGATGGGGGGATAATATTCAGACATATGTCTGTTCCCCTTTGCATGCACCAGAGAGATGTCATCATCCACAGGGTGGGGGGGTGTGAGGATCATTTGCCTGGGACAGACTGTTGGTCAGGGGGAGTCTGTCCAGTTCCCCACTGACATCACCCCATGTGTCCTTCCAAAGCTGCAGAGGGTCCATCCTAGAGAGAAGAGCCATGGCAGAGGTTTAGAGTACTCATCTTTGTTCAGTGTGAGTCTGGCCCATAGTAGGTGCTCAGCTTATATTTGTTGAATGAGTTTACTATGTGACTTTGAACCCTTCTCTCAACTTCTCTGGGCCTCTTTTGTCAAACAAAAGGGCACTACTTCAGAGGCTTTCGAATGCCCCCCACACCTTTCTTGGTAGAGCAACTACTGGTTCATGTATAAATGCATATCAAACAGGTAAAAGTAGATTGCTTGGTGGAGTGGAGGGGTGAGGGACTGAGAGCATCACTCGTCTGGGTCTTCCCCTCCCTCTTTGCCTCAGACTCCCCAAAAGCTCCTCAGAACAGAGTTTGATAACAATTAAGGTGATGAACCCCAAAAGTTCTCATAACTTGAAAGTTCAGATTGTTCTTTAAGGAACATCTGCATTTTAAGAGAATGGCTTGGAAAAGGGAAAATTCTTCCTGACACATTTGGACAACTGTTATCAAGTGTCTAATGTGCCTGAATATGGAATGTGAGAGGCCTTCACTGGAAGGGGGGTACGATTGTCTCAGGATGGAGGGCAGATGCTTCCCAGGGCCTTGAAAGCACACCATACATAGGGGACTGCTTGTTGTACCTCGACACACATGTCCACAGTGAGCAACTGGGGCTGCTGTGCCTTCCTGTCAGCCTGCCATCTTTTCCCTAATTGGGTATCTGCTTCAGTCCTGCTTTTCTTCACCAACTTTGTTTCCTGCTCTTGTTTCCAGAACTTACTGAAACCTGCACTCATTATAAACGTTTAAATAATGGAGTGAACTCAAAGGAAGTTGAACAAATGGATGGGTGATACAGGCTAATCACTTTAGACCTCACTATTTTAATTAAAATCCCACACAACACCTGGGATTTATAATTACATATGAACTACTTAGCTTCTTATGAAAACAAGCTCGGAGGCCAGGGAACAGAAAATAATTGTATTGTAATAATGTTCATAAAAGTTGCCAAGAGAACTTTCCCAACCCATGGAAATTACAGCTGTGAATATACAGCATGTTGGGGTTCCCCGTCCTGGCCCAGCCCTGGCTGCCCCTAACCCTCACCCTGTCCCCTGGTGCTTTCCTATTTCCCCAGTCCCTGAGCCCAGGATGCAGGTGTTAAAGAGAAGTAACAGCTAACTGCTTAGTGCGTATTAGTTCCCTGTGTAATCAGAACAACTTCAAGGTAACTGGAATAAAGGATGACTGCACAATTCTAAGGAGAAAGTGATACACCCACATTCATAGCAGCAACAGTTAAAATAACCAAAAGGTGGGAGCAGCCCAGGTACCCATCAGTGGGCGAACGCATAAACAAAGTATGATGCCACTTCCCACAAGATGGAGGCATAGGTGGACACACCGTACCTCCACGCACAACCAAGATTAGAACAACAACAATTTAGAGGCAGAATAACACCCAGAACTGATAGAGAATTTATTTGAATGGAAGTCAGACAGCCAAGAAGTTGAAGTAGACCCGTTCATCCAGACCGGTAGGAGGGGCAGAGAGGAGCGGCTGGGTGCGGGGCGCAGAGCACGGAGAACAGGGAGAACTGGGTGCCTAAAGCAGCCAGGAGTGCATAAGGCATCTGGGGCGCACAAGATCGCAGTGGATGGACCCTGACTACGCAAGCGGCAGCTGGCAGACCCAGTGAGGCGGTGATTGTGGACCAGGACAGAGCGCGCAACCCAGGATCCCAGAGAAGGGACTGAGGTCCCAGGAGAAAAGAGCTACCACCATTGTTCCCTCCTGCACCCACCCCCACATACAACGTCACAATCTAGTGACTGGGGTGCCCAGCCCAAGTGAACACCTAAGGCTCCGCCCCTCACTATAACAGGAGCGACCAGACCAAAAAGAGGCAGAGAGAGAGAGAGAGAGAGAGAGAGAGAGAGAGAGAGAGAGAGAGAGACATGTCTCAAACAGAAGAACAGATCAATGCCCCAGGACTCATCCTTTTGAGCGACCAAGAGATAGCCAATCTATCAGATGCACAGTTTAAAACACTGGTGATCAGGAAGCTCACACAATTGGTTGATGTTGGGTGCAAATTACATGAAAAAATGCAGGTTACCATAAAAGAGATGAAGGAAGATGCACGGAGAACCAATAGTGATCAGAAGGAAACTGGGATTCAAGTCAATGGAGTGGACCAGAAGGAAGAAAAAAATAACCAAGCAGGAAAGAATGAAGAAATAAGAATTCAAAAAAACGAGGAGAAGCTTAGGAACCTCCAGGACATCTTTAAACATTCCAACATCCGAATGACAGGGGTACCAGAAGGGGAAGAGGAAAAGCAACAGATTGAACACGTATTTGAACAAATAATAAAGGAGAACTTCCCCATTCTGGCAAAGGAAATAGACTTCCAGGAAGTCCAGGAAGCTCAGAGAGCCCCAAAGAAGTTGGGCCCAAGAAGAAACACACCAAGGCACATCATAATTACATTAGCCAAGGTAAAAATGAAGGAGAGAATCCTAGAAGCAGCAAGAGATAAGGGGACAGTCACCTACAAAGGAGTTCCCATCAGACTGTCAGCTGATTTCTCAAAAGAGACCTTACAGGCAAGAAGGGGCTGGAAAGAAGTATTCCAAATCATGAAAGACAAGGACCTACATCCCAGATTACTCTATCCAGCAAAGCTTTCATTTAGAATGGAAGGGCAGATAAAGTGCTTCTCAGATAAGGTCAAATTAAAGGAGTTCATCATCACCAATCCCTTATTTTATGAAATGTTAAAGGGACTTATCTAAGAAAAGAAGATAAAGAAAAAACATGTATAGTAAAATGACAGCAAACTCACAATTATGAACAACCACACCTAAAGCAAAACCAAAAGAAACTAAGCAAACAACTAGAACAGGAACAGAAGCACAGAAATGGAGATCACGTGGAGGTTTAGCAACAGGGGAGTGGGAGGAGGAGAGAGGGGGAAAAGGTACAGAGAATAAGTAGCATAGATTGTAGGTTGAAAATAGATAGGGGGAGGGTAAGAATAGTATGGGAAATCTAGAAGCTAAAGAACTTGTAAGTATGACAGATGGACATGACTAAAAGGGGGGATATGGGTGGGAGAGGGTGTACAGGGTGGAGGGGAGTGAAGGGGGCAAAATGGGACAACTGTAATAGCATAATCAATAAAATATATTAAAAAATGTAAAAAAGAAACAAAGTATGATGCCCACACAATGGAATATTACTCAGCCACAAAAAGGAAGAAACCACTGTCACAGGCTTCAACATTGATGCACCTTGAGGACATTATGCTAAGGGAAATAAGTCGATCACAAAAGGACAAATACTACATAATTCCACTTACACAAGGGCCCTAGAACAGCTGGTCCCAGGATTTGGGGGAGGGGAACGGGGAGTTTGTGTTTAACGGGCACAGAGTCTCAGTTTCTGAAGACAGAAGGTTCTGTGGATGCACGGTGGTGGCAGGTGCACAACACTGTGAATGTGCTCAATGCCACTGAACTGTGCATTTAAAAGTGGTGAAAATAGTAAATTTTTGTTGTGTATATTTTACCACAGTTATAAACAAACAAGTCAGCACTGAGCAGCTCCTCACAGCATTCTGTGAAGGTCTCACATGAAAGGATCTATCAGTTGAAAGAGATCCTTAGAGGGGTCCTTCCTGGGAATTCGGGGCCGAGTAAATGAAAGTGTCTTCTAGCAGGTGCCAGTGCACTGACCGATTGTTATACGTGAAGTTAGGTTTTCTTATGTACCCATATTCCCACGTTCAGGTACTTCAGTGAGCAGAGGCTCAGGCACTCTGTCTGACTTGATTTCTCCTGATCTGCTCTGTTGAAAAATCAGGGACTAGCCAGCTGTCTCTTCATGTTTCCAGGGAAGCGGGATTCTGAATGAAACCCCACTTCTCATAAAAAGTGAAACTTTGATAGGCAGGTAATCCTTCCTTCCCTGACATTGCTGTAACTACCCTCCACTTAATCTGCTAAGTTCACAGAGCCTGCCAAAGGTAGTGGAGGGCAAACAAGAGACACAGCCCAAGCCTAGATGGGTAAAAACAGCACTATCTTCCCTGCATGGGACGATGGAACAGTTACCATCTTCATTGTCTGGGGCACATTTTTACATGCTGGCACACATGCGAAGCTGGGCAATTCCATGCCTCGCCTGCTGCTTTCTGGGGTGACTGGAGGATCTGCATGTTGTTGGAGGAGGAGCACCACAAGTCCTGGAGGGTAGCCTACTCACCTTAGTTATCATGCTTATAAGGTTTGTGGATTATCGGGAGGGATCAGTCCACAGAGAAGAGACTTTACCAAGACCATGCAGCGAGTCAGGGTTAGAGGTGATGATGGCACTCAGGGCTTCTTACATCTGGGCCCACTTCTTTCCAGGATCAGCAACTAACATTTTAGAGCACTTACTTGGTACCAGGTGCAGTGCTAGGGGAGTAGGTGCATTGTCTTGTGAAAATGCCACCTCAGCGCTATGAGCTAAGTACTGTTGTAATTTCTTTTCCATATGAGGAAACTGGGGCTTAGAGAGGTTACGTCACTTGCCAAAGGTTGCCACGCTAACAGTAGGTGAAGCTGGATTTTTATCCAGGTCTGTCTGACTCCTCTCTCTGTACCCAACACCTCCCCATCTTTTTTAAAGTCGTTTTTTTTGTTGTTCAGTAAAGCATAAACACAGAAAACCATGCAAATCTAGTATATGAATTAATGGATTATTATAACACAAACACCACCGAGGTCAAGAAAGAGAACTTTGCCCCCTCCCCCTGCCCCAGAAGCCCCATGCATGTATCTTATCCCCCTCATGTGCCCCACAAGTGATCACCATCCTGACCTTTAGGAACCACCTTCTGTGTCTTTTAAAATTGCTTTATTACCCAGGTGTGCAACCCTAGACGCTGTGTTCTCGTACATTAGAAAAATTTGACATGCCTTTGAAGTCTCTTGTAATTTATACTCTCTTCCTTCCACCC